TCCATAACGAGAGGCACGCTTCAGTAGTGGCTCGCATCCCTGCCAATCCGTCCATCAGCTACGTGATCGGATCATCCACGGACTCTGATCCTCAAAGCGACGATAATTCAATTACCTACTACACGTTCATCAACCGCTAACCGCTACCCTCGAAACCACTAACCCTTAACCACCCCCCTTCTTCTGTGCATCTAGCCGAGTGCCACTCGGGGACTTGAGCAATCTCTTTGTGAACTGGCTAGGTGGCTGCGGATACTTGCTACTCAAATGAAGATACGTTAATACGCCAAGTTGACTATGTCGGTATTTGGGTGTTCCACGTGGTCGACGTTAATCGGCACCCTTCAAGATATAGGTAGGGATGACTACCCACTTCACTTTGTATTCTTACCAAAATTAATTGCGTCGAGAGAAATTATGCTTCCCGTTCTCATCCACCTGTAATCTTGTCACACGTGTTGGTTATGTGGTTTCGACATAATGGAGAACTTGCGGAACCGCCTCCGCCCCAGTGTTCATCCTGCTAGAGAAGACACATCAGTGTCGAGGCGTATCGAGACTGGCATCCAACGACCCTTCGTTTCTATACAACCACCCCATCTATCCAAGCTCCTTCCTTCGGCTTGGATTGCCTACGGGTGTTCGCGCTTCATTAAATCCTCTGCTTAGCAGCTGATTATCTAATCGTGCAAGAAACTTGAGGTCTTGTTGCTTCATTAATTTTTATATCAAGATGTATGTTTTTTATAGGGATGCCCTGATTCGAGAAATATTTACTTAAAAATTGAGAAGCTCCGTAAATTGGGATGACGTAAATCACCAAGTGGAATGTGACTCTTGGTGAGCCTCGGAGAGTCGTCGCTATATTCCCGTGGGTGTCTCTACGGAATCTCCAAGACTCCGCCCTGCTGGCTGGTACAGCAGAGGGTTGCCACCCCCCGTGGCTTCGTCGTCTGAAGATCTACGGAAGGTGGGAGCGTCTTTTGGATCTTAAGATCGAACTGCTGTACCGCAATTTCGGCCGTTGGTTTAGAAAAATTTGAGGTGACCGTCTCGAACGGGAAAAACACGGGGATGCCGATCATCCCTTTTGTCTTATATTCCGGCAGAGGGGTGGCTGTTATCTTTTGCCTTGGCGTGGCTGAACGAGCTCTCCGCGTCCGGAGAGTCGGTCCATTAATTAGACGGGGCCACATTAAGCCGAGCATTAATATACTCGGCTGTGTTTTGTTTTATCCCGCAGGAAGGACGTAACCGCCCGGTGCACAACGGGGTGGGTCAGGGGGTAAGGGTGCGTTTTCATGGCGGTTCGGGTGTCGTGGGGGCTGGGGGGGTGGTTTAAAACGGGGAACGTTCGTCCGTTAGGTAGTACGGGGGCCAACCGGTGGAAGAGAATGGTTTGCTGGTAATCCCGTAGCAGCCTTATCCCTGGGGACTGTTTAAATTCTGTAAATCGCTCCCGCCCGCCGGCCGACCTCGTGCTAGCCACTTTCCAGAAATTAAGGAGATAAGACCGATAACGACCTTATCCCTGGGCGTTAGATTAGCACGCTGTGAAAAAGCGTTAATTTCACCGTGGGATATACGCGGGTCCCGGATGTTTAGGATATATCCTCAGATTTTATAGGGGAGAACGTCATTGCTCTGCTTGTGTGAAATATTACTTATTAAATTGATCAAAGTTTGTCACTTGGTAAAATAAAGATTCGTCCTTTGTCAGAATCATTTAATGACCCATGCTGAATATTTCACCCAGAATAAATCTCACGTGACAGCCCGAGTGAGATCCTCGTTTGCCAGCCATTCAACCCCAGCTAATGGGACTAATTTAAGGGACGTTTTAAGCTTTTCTCACACATACGGGAGACTCGAGGATCGTGCAAAAACTTCATGTGTGCAGGCTGCCTCGAGCTAAACACTGTAATCACGTATTACCAGATCCAATGGCCAGAATGGTTAAATGGTCAGTGTCCCTTGTTGGATGAGTCGCGCCAAAATTTACTTAAGTTCCACGTACCCACTTGTAATCCTTATTTTTCTCACCCCTTACTCGGTACTGAATCCGATCAAATAGTTTTAATAAATTTTTCAGAATTTCATCCATCAAAAGTCAATAGTGATTCGTTACCCTCTCTCCGCTCTGTATCTAACCCAATTCCAAGGTAGATGACATAGGTCCCATCGAGCTTGGATAAAATTCTATTCAGATCCACCCTGCTGTTCTTCATTCTTTGAATAGTGACATTGTCAGCCCAGGAGAGTCCGAGTAGTCTGGCTGTAGTTTGAGGGGGTGGCTGGTATTCGGTAGGGCTCTGAAATAGGGGGTGTGCAGTCAGATTACGCTAAGCTATGCTCGTACGTGCTTGCGTGGAAGTTCACCACCCCTTGGCACTCCTCTTGGCAACCCTACCAGCCCAGTTTCACCCTCGAACCAAGCGAACGAACCTCCACCCTCGTTCCTGCCCCCCCCCGGTAGCGCAAAATATATTTATTGTTGTTTGTCCAGCGTTTTATACGCTCCTGCCGAGTAAAAAATCCTGCGTGAACCCTCTGCGATGTCGGACATAAATTTAAATGGTGCTGCTCCTACCTGGTATCCCCCTTACTGTTTTTTTTTTTTCGGCCACGTAAAATCCTCCGTGTCCTTTATCCTTTGGACATTTTTTTCATCCCCCTATGTAAACATCAAAATCCTACGTAAATTTTTTTACCGGTGTCTCTGTCGACGTGTTGAAATGAATTTTTTCTGGGATTAAAAAAAATTTTCTTAATATTGAATTTTTATTTCTTCGTATGAAATCGTCAAGACTGCTGTACCATTCCGGAACTTCCACTCCTTTATCTGAGCCGTATCTTCCTGGTGGTCTTGTCTTGTCTGCTGGCTGCTGACTAATTCAGAAAAGCAGAGCGACGACAAAAGGGCTGTAACTACTTCGGCCAACTTTTATCTTTCGGGATTAATCGAGGGATTAAAGTATTTGCGGTGGGATGCGGGCTGATTGGGGGAAATCGGAAGGGGATTAGAACTTGATTGGCTAATTTGTAAGTGTCCCCGGCAGCCCGGCACAAACTTAACAATCGATTGTTCCGCCCTGCACGTGAGGGTGCTCGCCATGCACACTGACGGGCAGTAGGTAGGGTCGTTAGTGCGAACTTCCCGATAACGGGTGACCGGTAAATTCCGACGATCTTGACTTGCCCCCATCCATCTAAGCCAGGACTCGCTACGTAATTAAAGGTTGCACCCTAACAACCTGTCCAATCAGACTCGCAGTCTATTAGAGCAATAATAATTAAATCAGCCGAGACCGATTTTACATTAAAACAAAGTAGTCAGGATTGATATCGTATCCGAGTAGTAAGAATAAGCAAGGGTGAGTTTCTAGCATTGAAATGCTCTTCCACTGTAAGGGACGAGATTCTCCAGTGGTCAAGGCAAGTTAATGT